GTGGTCTCTCTCTTTGTTGTTGCCTTCTCGCTTGGGCTTGTTTTCAGCCATTTCCTGCTCCCTGATCAGGGCTCGGGCTCGGTCAATGAACTGTCCTGGGTCTAGCTCGCACATCTCATTATCTGACCTCCCTACGGAGTCCTGGGCCCGGGCATCCAGCATCTCGGAGCGCATGCTGTCTTCAGACAGGTTACCATCTTCATCATTTTCAGAATCAGTGCTGTCATAGATTTGGTAGAACTTTTCCTGCAGCTGGCGCAGCTGTTTCTGCATGTCCTCCAGCTGCTGTTTCAGCTGTCGGCGCTCCTCTCGCTTCTGTTCTTTTCGGGCTGAAACCAGCTGCTGGAAACTCTGTTGCTGCTGCTGGGGCAGCTTCTGCTTGCGTTTGTTTTCTCTGTAACTTTCTCGGGGACTCACAGACTGCGGGGCCATCTCTCTTTCATTTTCATTGCCCCTTAACGCCACACTGGGGGAATGGCTCATACCCCGAATGATATTCTCAACCCGGGCGCGCTTTGCTCTCAGGTGCTCATCACATAAGCGATCCATATCAAACTGGCTCATAGTAGGCCTGCCAAAGGGGGAAAGACACTCTGGGGGGCTGTCTCTTGAAGAGTTGCTGCATATATCCTCCTGATGTACTTCGGAGCCTGTGCTAGAGAGACCGCTGGCTTGGAAACTGGGCTCCGTGCCACCATTTTTGTTCATGTTATTTTTCAACAGCTGGGAAATTATGGTTGCTCCTGGAAAAGGCATCATGGCATCTTCATACGAGTTCGCCCTCTTCAGCAGCTTGCGGAGCACATTTGACTTCTCCCCATCTGCATGCTGCACCACTGAATACTCAACATCCTGCTCGGAACCTTGGGGATTCATGGCACTAAAAAACGTGGCTCTCGCCTTAGCAAAAAATGCAGATGCTGTCCCTACCGTCCTTTTCACTCCAATGTCAACTCTTCTCCTCTTGGTCTGCCGGCTTAAGAGGGCTGTGCTGTCATGGTCAGGCATCACTGGGCAGTTATTGTGCCATCTTCAAAAGCTCGTCAGCTGGGCACAGCTCAAGAATCCCGGGACCCTGGCCAACAGAACAAAAGGACTGATGAATCATTTTCTTTAAATTTCTCCAAATTTCCTGACCTCAATCCTGAATCAAATACAAAATGCATAGGCTCTGGGATTTATGGCACATTACAATTATTGCAATTTATTATGCACTCTGCTTGAAATGAAACATTTTTAAATATTTCTGCTCCACTGGTTTAAGATGGATTAAGATTAAAAAAAAAAAAAAAAGCAAAAACTGCTTAAGCAGCAGTAATATGATTCTCTTTCACAAATGCCTAAAATGATACTGTTTATCGTCAGAAGAAATAGTAGATTATAAGTACACAGCCTCTGACAAGCAATTGATTAAATTTTGGGCATTCAGATTCACATTACAAAAGAAGATGAAAGTGGGCTATACTTAAGAAATAGGATTAAATTTTGAGGCTGTGTGAAATTGGGATGCAAAATTCCATTTCTGCATTAAAATTATTGTGATTTTTAAGGCTATGAAAAGAACACTAAAGTAAATGCAAATATTTAAAACACACCCTTTATTACCAAATTTTAAAATATTTTTGTCAAATGTGAAATGAAATGAGTGGAGCCCCATCAGCATCTTTCCAACATAAATGGTCAATTTCACATTGAAATCATGGCAAAAATACTCCTATTACAAGTCTGCTTATTTAGCATAGAGATGCATTTTTATTAGTAAAATCACTTTTGAAGATGGTATCTTTTGGGTTTTTTAATGTAAGTATGAGACTATTTATAAATTTTCATGATGCCCTTCTGATTACTTAAATTATTATCAAGTCGAACTCACTGCAAAAGAACGACGTTGTTACATTTTAGAAATCAATAAATTGAATTAGGCAAGGATAAATATATCTTCAGGACTAGTTTTCTTCTGTTAAAATCTGCCACAATGATACTTCCCATGCTTAAAGAAACTCTTTAACATACACCACTTGTGAATCTTATTTCATATGCTGGATTTAAGAAAAAACACACAGAAATATATTTAAGACCAAAAAAAAAAAGAGATGTATAAAGAAGAAAGAAAATAACATCACTCCAATATATGTGAGAAAGGAAATACCTTCTCTGCATTCGAACTTCCATTGTTTCTTGGGAACACAACGTAAAAAAGAGAAGATCCCTCCTTGCATTTTATAAAAGGTAGTTGACATATTTTGTGACTTATTAACTAGTGATGCTAACCCCAAATCTGGCATAAATGTAAGATGTCACATCTTTTTTTGCTTACAATTAACATTTTATGGAGAAAATGAGAATATTTTTTTCACCCAGGGTTGATCTAATATTAAACTTCACGTTTGCTTAACAGAGCACATCTTCACAATAACAGGGTCCATTGCCAAAGGCAGCGTGCGGAGTGCTTGGAACCGCTCCCATCTCTTTCGGTTCACCTGTGAAAACATCTACGTGCTCCCTAGGACTGCATCTGTGGCTAGTTTTAAAGAATGACTATCCATGCAAATAGGCATGATTTCAGCATGAAATAGCCTGTAAAAATCAAGAAAATGCTCAATGCTTAGATGGCAGCATGTATTTTTTTTTTTAAAGCAAGAAAGATTTCATCATGCAGACCTGGCTTCTGGTTTCTGTATGAAGCTACAACATTTTAAAAGAGCCTGTTTTAGAATATCGTGAAAGCAGTATGATGCCTCTTCATATATGTGTGTGTATACATATATGTGTTTATGTATATAAATATGTATATACACATACATATTTGTGTGGTTGAGAATAAAATACTTTTTATATGCCTCAAGATAAAATTTCCTGAATTTAGCATGGAAACAAGCCTTAATAACTTCAATACTGAGTTCAACGTCAAATTTGGAATAATCGGACTCCTCACACATTACTAATAAAATTGGTTTCAGAAATACAAAGATGCAATGACAGGTCTCTCACTAACACGTTAGATCTGATAAATCCGGTGGAGCTGTCAGGTGGGAGGAAAAAGGAGGACTGAGACAAACAAGAAAAAAGATGAATTATTTCTCAGAAAGACTTGCATATTGAGGGAGAGGTCTTTTCTGCATGCAGATCAGCTTTCTAAAAGTAGAGCTCATTGCCATTATTTTTAAAAATTTACTTCTTTTCTTTTTGTGTGCAAATCCTTTTCTCTTTAACATCACCTGAAAAGCACACGGATCTCCAATCAACACACGGACCCAACTTTCTGCAGTGTTTTTCTCCCCGTTCACCTTCACACCCCAACGGGATTTTGCCCCTCCCCATCCTTGCTCTGGGAAGAGCACCTCTGCACCAGAGGCTCAGAAGTGACAGGCTGTGGAAGAGATGAGCACAAGGTCATCCCCAGGCATCCTTCCTTTCCCAGCTGCCATTTACCTTGGAGTCAACTGCACTTCCTCTCCTCGAGCCTAGGTCTCAACAGCTGCACCCCTGCCTCATGCCAGAGCCCAGAGGAGGGCTGTGCTTTTCCTAAGGTGGAAAGAAATGATATTCTCGTCTTCAGTGGAGAAGAGTGGTAAACATGCTTGTTGGATCTTTTAAGGAAAAGCTAACCTGTAACTTCCTCCAAATTCACCAAACTACTCTGTCTTTTTGCATTTCTCTTTCAACCAGTCAGCGTTTTTAGACTAAATAACGATCCGTTTCTGTTGTGTGCTAAGAGAATTTAATTACTTTTAGGTCCTGTTGTACGATATCCAGCTGAGACGTAATAAATAGGATGAAACAAATGGTAAAAATTATATAATCGAGCAAGACAAGGGATTATATTAATAGAGGAAATATGTCTCTCCATATAGCTTGGACCTAAACTTAGAAATAATTGTACTAGTGCACTTTAGGTTTATAACCTATGGAGGCTATGGGCAAGATTAAATAATTATAACTAGTTGACACAGTATTTTACTAGCATAACGTTTCATAAACAGGATATATATATATACACACATGCGCACACACACACACACACACACACACACACATTTACCACATAAGAAACACAGTTAAATGAGCATAATGTAAATTAAATCACTTGAAAATACTTTCAAAGCACTTCCACAACTTCCCAATTCAGAATTTAGAGAATGCTATAGAATGACTTTATCACTGATATTGTCCTGTCCATTAATATTTTTAAAAGTCCTTTATTTTTCAACATATGTACTAAGCCACAATGTCTCAGCTACAATTATTATTGATTCATGTGTGTGGTATGTACCGTTAAGTCGGCTCCAACTCTTGGAGACCCTATGAATGAGTGATGACCGAAATGTTCAGTCCTCAACAGCCCTGCACAGCTTCTGTAGACTCCTGCCTATGGCTTCTTTATGGAGCTAATCCATCTCATGTTTGGTCTTCCTATTTTCCTGCTACCTTCTATTTTCCCCAGCATTATTGTCATCTTGTATTTTAATTTTAACATTAATTTTAAGTTTAACCAGGCAACCTGAAACCTCCTGTTCAGCAGGGGTGAACATAAGTATCAGCCAGTATGCAGAATATTACTGATGTTGAATTTGAACTCAAATGTATTATTGATTAGATCTACATAATCTACTCCTGTAAACTCCTCTTTAATTAAGGTGAACATCTATAGAGAATATTTTTCACTATTAAATATTTTTGTTGTACCATTTGGCACAAATGCTCTAATAATTCCTATGCAACGGATATCTTAGCATAGCAGATTCCTTCTAGTAAAATATAAGAATAAATATCCAGGTATAATCAGGTCTGATTTTAATTACTCCAAAAGATTCTTAATTAAAATTGGAGTGATCTGACATTCTATTTAACATAATCCTAAGGAAGCTGATGACTTAATGTTAGCAGAGAAGAATTTTCTGTGAAGAATTTCTAAGGAACACTCTAGTGTGAAGTAGAAAGTGGTAAAGTGCTCTGACTTTAATCAAGAACTTATTTTGGGGGAGGGGAGTGCAACTTTTATGCTTCTACCTGGAGTCCTTATTCTGGACAAAGACGTGTTTCACTACAGTAATTATCCAGATAGTTCAGACAAATCTCTTGTGAGGCAGGGGAATTTTAAGGTTGGCATGGTTTCCTGTTTGGATTCTTTAGATTATCTGTCTTCATTGATAAAAAAAATTTTTTAAGAAATTGCTCAAGCTTACACTTTGCTTCTTTTAGAAAACAACCTTTGAATGGGCCCCTCATCTACTTGGATCAATCTGGTTATGAAATTTCAAATGGAATATCATTAATAAATTAATCTGGAAATCAGTAATTCAAAGGGGGGGAAATCTGATGATTTGATTTAGCTAGCTTCCGCCTTCCCCCAAATCTCTAAGCTGTCCCTTCACTGTCCCCTTCATTTTGGCTAATTAGCAACTTTTCCTTTGGAGGTGTTTCTACCTACTAGCAGGTTAAGAAAACCTTTTATGTTTATTCTGAAGAACTCACTTGACGTAAGTTAATATTCCAATGAACTGAGATTGCATTGTCAAAACCTTCTATCAGATTTTAAAATTTCCTATCATCATAGAGTTCTCAAATCATAACCATTTCATTTAAAATTCCTCCATCCTATCAAAAATTCCATACATTTTTCACCAGCAAAGTGAACACAGAACATTTTCTGAGACATGCCTAAAATATTTATTTCTACTTATTTAAAGAGTAATAATTCACTGAGTTAGTAAATCAGAGTGAGAAGTAATCTCAAGAAAAGACACATTTTTTTCTTTCTGTTGAAATTTAAAATACTCTAAATGTCCTCCGAAGCTTTAGAATACACTAGGCAATAAGATTTGAGAAATTCCTTGTGTATATGTCCTTTCCAATTTATACAGGTACTTAATTAGAATCCTATAACAACATAGCATGCACAATCCATCTTCATATTATGAAATCAGTAACATTTTATAATTTCTTTTGTTAATCCTGAACCTAAAACATTTCTTATATAATAAGTTGCAAATGCAAGATAATTCCCGAAATGATACAAGAAATTCAGGGGAAAAGGCCTATTTGCACTTTGAACAAATAAACAGCCAACCTGGCAGCTACCTTATGTTTTAAGATCGCAAGTGCCACTTGTAGAGGGCCGATGCTAGGAAATGAATAAAGTGGGAACAAAGATGCATGTTATGTATGCGTGACTTTTTCCCCACAAGGTGGTGATTAAACTAAACAGAATTCTGCATAATGGACACATAAAAATATCAATAAGTGCCAAGCACAGATAACCCCTATTAAAAATAAGCAGAACATATCCATAGAGGACATTTTAATTATGAAAGAACTTCAAAACCATCCAAGGAAAGTATTGGAGGGAAACTTTGATGTTTAAGTCTAAAGAATAAATGGCACACATTATCTCATTTTCATGAAACAATGAGCATCGCCCAAGCAACAAAACCAACAAAAACCATCCACCATCCAACCTAATTCTATGCAACTCAAGTAGTAACCTGTGTAAAGAAAAAAATGTAAAGATCAAGTATTAAGAATCCAGATACAGTGCTTACATTGAATTCTCAACATCTTCCCTCACGCATTAAGACACAGTCCTTACCTTCGTCTGTGTTACCATTACATAAACATAGCCATGTTATGTTGCATGGACAGGTTAACCCAAATACTCCCCTTTGACTTCCTCACCACGTACAGCCCATTTCATTTTGAAAATACTCAGAAGTTCTTGTAAGGAACTCTTCATAGAACTGACTGCCCGCATCTTGCATCCAACAGAAAAGCAGTTACCTCTCACGTACTTGAGATTTCCCTTCCCCATCAAAGTAATAACTAGGACATCTGGCACATGTCTGGTACAATGACAGGCTCATTCTACTTTATGAGAATATTTAACATATGACTTGAAAGAGTTCATGCACATACCTATTCTTTCTGGGCAGGGAGAAAGCACACTAAAAAGATAAGCTTTCACAACAGTAACACTTCCAAACTGACTTTGGTATTCTTGGCAGTTACACACATCACCCACGGCTGTCCAAAACACACACACACAAAAGACAGCTCCCACCCCCTCCCTCCACAGACCTGGGAGACAGACATACACTGGACGGAAGCGAAGGGAAAGTCAATCTCCCTCCACCTGCTGCCTGAAGTGGGGGTACTTTCAGCCGCCTGGCAGACAGAAGCCTGAGACACAGCCTCAGCAGCCGCCTGCCTGCCAACATCCTTAAGAAAAATAAACACACACACACACACACACACACACACACACACACACACACACGAACGTGTCCCCTACCCCCAACCAAAGAACTCACATGGCAAGGGCTCAAAACATAACAACAGCCCATTCCCATTAGCCTGGACAATCCTATTAACCAGGGCAACCATAAATTCATAAATCTCTACAACCCCGGGGCACGCATTGTGGTCTGGAACTGCACAGACACACACAGACACAGAGGAAATTTGCACCTGTCTTTCTTGACATAACACACCTGTCAGGCCCTGCTCATGCGCATTCTGCTAACAGACCTCTGCCTACCTAGTTTAGGAAAGGGATTTTTTTTTATTTTAATGGGAGGGTATAGGTGGAAGAGGAGAGAGAGAGAGAGAGAGAGAGAGAGAGAGAGAGAGAGAGAAACAAGAGAAGAAACTTCCAGCCTTGACTTTGAGAGAAGGCCATCCTGTAATCCTGTACTTGGTCTGTTTTTATAAGCTCAAGGAGACAACACAGACCTTCTTGGAAAAATTAAAACAAGCAGGTGAGTTCTCAGCCTCCCCCCCAGGCGGAGTCGGGTTCTGGACTGCCAAGAACAGCAGCAGTGTCACACTCCTACCTGCCTCCTTGGGCTATTTAAGACGACCGCCTACACCTGCCTTCTCCTTTTCTCCATCGGCCTGGAGGACTCCACTCCCATAGAGCTGAAAGGGGGCGGGAGACCTCCAGTCTCTCAAAACCTACTCCCCCATCCCAAACCCACACTCTCCGGTGGCGTTCAGCTTTAGCAGGAGGAGTAACTGGCCGGCACAGCACTGCAACCAACAACTCGCTAAACTGGACTTTGGGTGATGTCTCCCCTCAACCCCGCCGCCCACCCTCAGGCCCACCCCCCCCACCCTGCCGCCCCCTCCCT